GGCCACATTATCCCACAGGAGCACTTACAGACACTGCAGACAGACTAGTTTAAAAACGATTGTTCACTCACAGCTGTCAGATGTCCCAGGCCCACCGAAAGGCCGACGGCCAGGATGGCAGAGCCCGTGACGTCCCTTCTCCTTTTATCTGTGGTCGCTAGGACACACAGAACCAGCTGGAAGGTGGCCAGAAACTCAATGCCAAAGCCTTGACTTGCCGTGACTTTATTTAGCTGTTGAGGGAGAGGAAAGAGGAAACCGTATATTTTATACTTGCCTAACAGGCAACCAAAAACCTGAGTGTAATGTTAAGAGGACTTGGAAAGGATCCATTTTTGGGAATAGTAGACAAGACTGGAAACAAATTACAGGAGGGCAATTGTTTATGTAGCATAAATTCACATGGAAAGCTTTAGCAATTTGTTAAATTCGGCACTCTTTCCCCAATTGAAAAAGGCTCCTTAGAAATGGTAGCCATGCTTAGTCTAAAACGTTAGAGCCTTTCTGAAGAAATTAGCACCAAACCACAGAAAAACCAAGGTTGCCCTGTTGATAATTTCCACATAGGTTCCTGATATTTGACCAAAGCATAACCGCTAAAGAAAATCATCTTAGCGTCATTGCATTTTGAGGTTAAACATTGTAAATACACATAGCTAATTAACCGTGCACAACTGTGATCCATCCTAGTGCATCATTGCCCATCCGTCTTGCGCCACATACAATTCCACTGGCATTAATGGCCCCCGTCATCTAAGCCATCGTGTAGAGAACAGCCCTCAAGATGCTGATCTGGCAGTTGACCGCCATCCCCAAGGTAGCTGCTGGATTCAGGTGAGCCCCACTGATGATTCTACGGGGAACACAACCTAGAACCTCAAGGACATAGCGTGCGAAATGTGTGGAATTTCGGCAGGCAACACGGCTCATGATGGCCAGGCCAAAAGCCAGGAACACCTTCACTTCCTGGTCGGGTTCGGTCCTTTGCCGTGATCAGGTCTTCTGCTCTATCTGGTGTCAAATACAGGACTCAGACTAGCCAATAAAGTATTTATAGGGCACTTTTTATAGTGGGAGGAGGTGGTAAATATCCAAAAAAAGTAGAAGCCCTATGGCACTAATACACAAACTGCTGAGTAAGTTTCAGTTCTTATAAGGACATAGACCTAAGATTGATGTGCTTAGCTTGGCTTGTTGCCAGGCAGACTTCAGGCCTATTTTACGAGGCACTAAAATCCTTCAACCAAGAAACTGTGACCCTTAAATATTTGATTACTTTGCTATTATTTCCAGTTCCTGAGGAAGACACAAGAAGTAGCTAACCACTGGATGCCAGTGAGCAGATTGCCAAGTGTACACTTACACAAACATGATGAGTCCGGATCACTGGCATGCAATTTGGATTTCAGCAATGCTGATTCTCACAAGCGGATACAGGGACAAGGCAGGATGCCACAATTGGCATCTTCTGGACCACTGCCATCGCTGTTTAACCCATTGACAGTGTTGGGGAAGTTACTCACAAAAAGTAATCCATTAGAGACAGAGGTGGAAATTTCAGGTCCAGAGAGTTCAAATCCATTGCAAGGTTTTGTTTCAACCAACCAGTTGATTACTCTGTGACTGTGACTCTATATATTCAACTGGTTGCTTGAAACAAAACCTTGGTCTGGATTTGTACGCTTTGGACCTGAACTTTCCAAATCTGTCTGTAATGGATCACTTTTGTGAGTAAATTCCCAAACACTGCCCCCTTAACACCTGCAGTTCAGGCTAGGCAAGCCACTTGAAGTAGGTTTTAGCTAAGTAGGTTTGGCTTGGCCAGTACTTGGATGGGAGACCAATTAGGAAAGCTGGGTTGCTGCTGGAAGAGGTGTTGGTGTGGCCAACAGGCTGTGTAAGTTCCAATGCGCCAGGGCAGTGATGGGAAGCACTGTGCTGTCCTTTGGATGAGATGTAAAAACTGAGGTCCTGCCTTTGTGGTCAGAAAAGATCCCTGGGTGTCTTTCAGAAGAGTAGGGGTGGTACCCTGATGTCCTGGCTAAAATTGCCCATTGTGGCCCAATCAGATCAGGCCTCCTAATCCTCCCCTGTATCTGATTGGTGAATTTTCACCTGCCCCATTTCTACTGTGTGGTGAGCATACTGGTGCTGAATGACTGCTGTCGCATCATCCAGGTGGGGGCTACAGAGCGGTGGTGGCTGAAGTGGCCCCCCATTGGTTCCTTGAAGTCTTTTAGGTGTTTGAAAAAGTGCTATATAAATGAAACATTAATTCGTTCAAAAGCTAGGCCAAATGAATGAGCGGGACTGATTCCCGTACAGATGATCTGTGGACAAAGCATTACATTTCATTCACACTTTCAAGTGTCAAAACAGGTAATGTAATTACAGCGGGAAACAATCATGAAAGACATAAAATGCATTTCTGAAACCATAGCCCACCACAGGATACTGGTTACAGTCATCAACGCACATCAAGATGGAAGCTGCTTCATCCCACAGCATGTGTGATATAGAAGGATAACCTGTAAGTTTAACCAACTCACTCAAGGCTAATCCAAGTTTTATGTCTGAATATGAAAATTGCATAGGGTTAGGGTTAGATGCCTGCGGTCCCATATAGGAGAAGGAGGTATAGAAAAGGAATGGAGGGAAGGAAGGGTGGATGAAACTTAATCCTGCCAGGAGTCCAAAGCTGAAAAAGCCTTGGGCAGCATTGACACCACTGGGCATGAAAGGGGGGGGGGGGGGGGGGCAAAGCATTAAGCATATGCCATCACATGAAGGATTGTGAGATGAGACAGTATTAGAGCAGCCCAGTACTTTCTGATCCCCCTCCGCAGTGCTCAGGAAAGACTCCCATCAAGGTCAATTATGCAATAGTTGCAAGGAGTAACTGAAGGCTACTCATGCGGTTAACTTACTCCATACCTCCATACTCAATGACACTGGCAAAGGCTGCTCCCATCATCCTCTGGGCCACAATGCACAACACAGGTCAGAAGATGCTGATCTGGCAGCTGACCAGTATCCCCAAGCCAACGGCCGGAGTCAGGCGGAACCCACTGACATGCCCCAAACTCTGGACCAAGGTGGCGCTGGCCAGGCCAAAAGCCAGGGGTACCTTCACCTCCTGGTTGGGAGTCGCGCTGCCTGCTGAAATTCCACACATTCCGTACGCTACGTCCTTGAGGTTCTAGGTTGTGTTTCCCGTTAAAAGTGGGTCGTATCATACATTGGCTTTTCCCAAATCGGGTTTGAGGGGGCGGTTGGCGGGGGTGGACATCCCAGAAGATACAGAAATTTCCCAGAAGTTGCATAAGCCCTACACTGATCCATGATTCATTTTCTTACAGTCATAGACATGATGTCATTCACCTGCCATATCAGGTAATTTTGCATATTTTAAAGGCTTGCATATATACTCCCCACAAGTTGGAGGGATGTGATCCTTTGGTCTATGTCATTTCATTGTTTTTAACAGACTTGTAATTTACATGTAATTTACATTACTCAATGCACCGTAAAACAAACTTAACCCTGAGTGGCTAACATGTTATCCAATATGAGCTGGTTAGGGAAGTAGATGAGGTCCTGACCTGTTTCTTCTGAAAACACACCTTTAAGCACTGATGTTCCAAAGAAGAACTGCAGAACAGGTTAGGCAGCTAGAGAAAATGCATCGGTTCTAAGCGTCGCATTGCGATTCGCATATTGCATAGAAAGCTATGCATGATGTTGCCGCCAGTGCACTGCATTTTGAAAACGCACTGCTGCACGCATTTCTCTGCACTGCACACTCCCACTGATGACAATGAAAAATGGATACAAATGCATTCCAAAGTGTTTGTATGCATTTTTTTTTTACTCTTTCCCCCCACAAACACTAGGGAGAATCACGTACAATCAAAGAAACAACATTAAAAACGTATAAAGACGCACAAGAACGTGAACAAACGCGAGATGAAAACAAAGAAAAATGCATGCGACAAAATAAAAAAACGCAGTACAACACAATGTGTTTCTGCTTCCCTACTATGAACATACCATAATGACTTAAATCTATTAACAAAGTAAGTGTTAAGAAAGAGCTGTGTAGCTCATGTCTGGAAGGTTGTGGGTTCAAATCTCACGGCTGGCAGGGTAATCATATCACCACCGGGCCTTTGAGCGAAGGGGATTCCTTGACCCTGCTCTCTTCCCTTGTATGCCACTCTGCATAAAGGCATCTGCAGAGCAGATATAACATCCACAAGGGATGGATTCTGAAAAAGTGAAAATATATATTATGCACTTTGCAGAGTTACAGTGTGCAGTGCTCCATTTTCACCCCACAAAATTATGTGGTTATGGAAGCTGGTGTCTCTGTCCGTAGCGTTTGATTGTGTGTGAGCCCAGGATTGTCTTGGCGTTCTCTCTTCTGCCTTGCGTCAGGTCTTTGCTGGGATCAGCTCCAGATGCACCGCAACCCTAAACTTAGATAAGCAGTTATGAAAGACAGATGGATGGACTTCCCCCAAAAAGGACACGCTACAGGATAGGCACAGCATGAATAACATTCAGCTGAACATTCTATTGTTAATTGATTAATTTGTATGGGGGGATTTTATTATTTGTATGTTATAATTAGGCTGGTTAAATACAGGTGCGCATTTCACTCTGAAAGGCTTATTTCCGTAAGTCATTTTCCTTTTTCTATGTCCTTGGTGTAGCATCACATTTTACAATCTTCGGGAATTTGAATATAGGTGTTTTTCAATCGATAATTTACTGACTTAATGTTCATCTTTGAAAAAAGCGTTTCTATTTACACAGAAAACCTCAAAACGAACTTAGATCAGTAGTACAAGTCGTAAAATAACAGCAACCCCGAGGACTTTACTCCGCAGTAAAGTGTCCAGTTCTTTGACTGGCAGGAAAATGATTCTTAGTCATTCAAAATTAAACTCTGCAGTGCTGGTACGGCAAGGCACTAGGAGTGTGAAAAGTATAAAACAATTTGGCCCAGCACATAAGCTGCAAGAGGTCTTTAATCAGCACTTGAGCTGCGCGCCTTTGACAGTGACGCAGGGGCGCTGCTGTGGACTCGTGCACGTGGCGCGACGCCGCATCCCACGCGTACCACTCAGAAATGTTTACGTGCGAAATAATGGGCTTTCGGTGTGGTTTCGCAGCTATTGTGCTTTCTGTAAATCAAAGCGTGTCACTGCCCGGTGTCCCGTTCCAAAGTGCAAGACAAACACCAGCCTCGGCGGAGCGAGGAGGACGCAAAGAGCCGGTAATCGGAGGCGGGGATCACGGAACGAACAGCAGGAAGAACAGGAGGCAGAGCCACGGTGGGAGAGTGAGATATGAAGCGATCACAAGTCATGCGACAAAAATGACGTGCGATGCAATTACAGGTAGATGCACCCAAGGCACTGGATACTGGTTTGTGTTCGTTGCTATGAGATATTTTACGGATCAAGGTAAACAAGATATTACCGTTATAATATAGATTATTATTTCACGGTTATCCAGCTCCTTTTTTATGATGAGTGAGCAGCAAGATTTACCCCCTGTCCAGTTTTGTCCCTCCCAGGACTGACTGTGGCGGTTTTGCAGTAATTGACTGGATCATTGCAAAAATTTCCGAAAAAATTATCCCCAGTAAACACAGAGGCAGACACAGGTATCTGGTGGAAATGCCCCAGTACGTGGGGACTGTGACGATGGGTGTTTTATTTATCAAAAAGGGGAACAGAACAAAATGGTGCACACATGATACAAATATATATTTAAAATGCAAATCATACACATATACAAAAAAAGAGCAATTTTGTTTTTTTAAAAAAATCTATAATACTGACGTTAAAGACCAAGTAGGCATCAAGTTCCTGTCAAGTTTTTTAAAATTGTGCACTCACAACATGCAATATTTGTTTCACTACTGAATAGTTGGGTAAAGAAAAAATATAATATACAATAAGAAAAATACAAAAAGAAAGTGTTACTCTGAATTAGGCTGTAATGGGACTTGGATCTGACAGAGTAATTGGATTGTCCTTTACTCGTCTATATCTCAAAATATGGATTCATTAAAATCTATTTTTAACTGGAGTGAAGACTTTACAAGCAGATAGGCAAGCATCGGCTCATCGGGTCGGGTTTCTGTACAAGGGGGGCAGGGGTGGGGTAGGGGTCCCCACTCGTCATTTTGATGACATCTCCACCGCTGGGGGGTCCCCTGCTCCGTTGACGTCATAATCCCCTTCAGGCCCACTGACCAGAACCTTTATGCGCTCAGGGAAGTCGTCGAATTTCGGGTACAGTAGGAACTCGTATAAGAGTGCGGCCGCGACGCCTCCGCACATTGGACCCACCCAGTACACCTGGAAAACAAAGATTTATTCTTAATTCCCTGAATCCCTGTTTTTCTTTTTTGGAAACACATTTGTGCTTCCCAGGAGATGTTGTCCAGTGTGGCAGATGTGAAATTAAAATTTAATGTACAATGAATTAATTGCCATAGTTGCCACGGTTCTGACTTACCCAGTGGTTATCAAAGTTGCCAGTAATTACAGCCGGCCCAAATGAGCGGGCTGGGTTGATACCGCACCCTGTGTAGCTGATCTGTGGGCAGAAAGATGCTTTATTAGATTCAAAAGCTACCCAGTATATTCACAAGAATAGACCCTTGTATTTGTGTAGAATATACATATTTATCATCGACATCATCATTTATGTCAGTCTGTGTCCTTGCTATTCAGCAAACAACTGCAGAATATGTAGTCGCTTTTTAGACCTCTAAACTCCTAAAGTTTGGACATGTGAGTGTACTCACAGCTGCAAGGTGGCCTAGGCAGACTGACAGGCCGATGGCCAAGGGGGCGGAGCCCATGACATCACGACGTCTTTTATCTGTGGTTGCTATGACACACAGGACCAGCTGGAAGGTGGCCAGGAGCTCGATGCCAACGCCTTGACTCGCAGAGATGTTATTTAGCTGTATAAGAGAGTGACAGAAAACAACAGTTGCCATTTAGCATTAGTGGGGATATAAAATTGCTTTGTATGTAACCTACTGATCACCTCACAAATTTAACCCAGTATTACCAAGTGGTTGGTAGTATAATTTTCTCCTATTGCTACAAATTTTTTTTTAATGACACTCTTGTCTCCTAATTAAACAATTTAAATGCAAGTGAAAGCATGCAAAGTAATAACACTATATTTTCATTAAAAAGGTAAAAGTTTCATATTGAACTGAAATAAATGTAGGCCAACTCATGTTGATGTCATATTATTATATTATTTTAGCAAGTTATTAGGAGGAGTTGGCAGTTGAATGCTGGAGTTTGTGGTGGGTGGTCTACACTGATAACACTGGAAGGTGTCAAAACAACCAGCGACTACTTGGGGGTGATCAAAACAACAACAATAACAACACACGCTTATTCATGAGCTTCTGAATTTACAGGCACGCAACGTTTGCGTTTCCACAGTTATAAACAGCTCCATTCTGTTCAAGGCTGTATGGACTGGCTCAGGAAGCGGCTTTATTTGGGCAGTCTGTTAGCAGAAAGGTGACCTATTAAAAAGGGGTCAGGCTGAATGTCAGACGTCACTACGCCGACAGAGAGAAAGCGCTCGGGAATTCCGTCGCCTGCTCCTTCAAACGTCACCCGAGTCACTCAGAGGCGGGGAGGGGGGGGGGGTTGAAGCGGGAAGGGTTACTTACCTCGTTGAGCCCCAGCGCGTCAGTGCCGTTCGGCCTCACTCCAAGCACGATGCCGCTGGCGACGGCGGCCCCCAGCATCTGTGCCGCGATGTACATCACCGCCTTGAAGACGCTGATCTGGCAGCTGGCCAGCATCCCCAGAGTGACGGCCGGGTTCAGGTGGGCCCCGCTGATGTGGCCCAAACTCTGGGCCAGGGTGGCGATGGCCAGCCCGAAAGCCAGGGACACCTTCACCTCCTTGCCTGAACTGGCGTCGTTCGGGTTCCCGAGGGCGGAGGAAATGCTGAGGACTATGAAGAGGGTCATGCCCACCAGTTCGGCCAACACGGCCCTCCAGAACGCCTTGCACTTGAACTCCCTCTTCATGGTTGGGCCTGTGGTGGTCCTCTCTCGTATCTACTCACCACTTCTAACCCAAGATGCTTTTATATGTTTCAGCTGATACTAGAAGGAGGCGGGCTCTGTCACAGTGAAAAGGAAGGGCATGGCCAATTCATTCGAAATCCTGAAGTTTCCTCCTCTCTCTTTCTTTCTCTCCCTCTCTCTCTCCCTCCCTCCCTTTTCTGTTGATACGCCATCAGGGCTGACAGGATGCTGTTTCTTTCCTCTCTGTTCCCCTCCGGATTTGCCAAAGCCACACATGAACCACTAAACCGTTTCAAACCTATCACCGCAGTATTAACTCTCCGTAGGTTCAAAATCCCACGTGGGGGTGAATATTGTCCCTTGGCCCATAATATCTCAGCTAATTCGTGAGAAAATATCTCTGAGGTGTGGATGTCTTGCTAGTCAAATATCTCAGACCAACAACAAAAATATATATATTTTTTTCCTTTTGAAATCTACTTTTTATTTCTTCCTCATTGTATGTAATTTCTATAAACTGTAAGTTTAAAATGCAACTTTCAAAAAAAAAAAAACATTTTCTGCTGCATAGTTATTAATATATGACTTCTTGTGTTAAACCGTATGTTTTGTTATCTTTACCCCCATGAAAAATTGTTCAAAATCAATAAATACATTGGGGGGAAAAATGCAGTTTTCAGCAGCTTCCTTTCTAACTGTCCTGGAGTCCATTACATCTGCTTGGACCGAAATCTTCACGTCACGCAGGCTAAAAGTGGCCACTCGCCACGATTTCATTCCTTGCCCCATAAGCCTTTGCACTTCTTCTGATGGCCGTATTTTCAAAAGGGAAGCAGACACTTTATTTGATTAACAGTCCAAACAAGAAATGCTTTTGCACTCTTTGGGCTGATCACTCCTCAAGTTCATTCTGCAGATGAAATCCCTGTGCAGTATATATGATCAATTTAGAGATCTCTTCACTCTATGAAAGACTCGCTCGGGATATCCCTTCAATTTATAGAGTATAATCACTTTAGAGATGCCTTCACTGTAGAAGTAAATTCACACTGTACAGTGTTACATCACTGTACCGATGTTCCTAAAACTGCTGAGATGTGTTTTTTCACTCTTTGAGTTTGCAATAACCCCCCGACAACCATCTTAAACCTTTCTAATGTTTAATATTTTGCATGGGATCTAAAAGCATTTTATTAGTAATTAAACGTTTGAGATGCTATGCCCTCTGGGTACTTGAGCTGTAACTTTCATTTAAATAATAATCATTCTTACATCAGCTTTTAAATCCACGCTGAGAGAACAACTGAAACTGCCCAATAGTTCAGAATGTTTACAAGTTTTTGGGTGACAGTCCATGTTTAGATACAGAAAATCTCTTCTTTCATTTGCACTAAGATTGGGGTTCCTGCTCTCCCTGTGTTCCATGAATATGCACCAGACTAATGTAAAATGACAAAAACGGGGCAAATTAGCTTTTTAAGGTATAAATAATAATAATAATAATAATAATAGATTTAATTTATAACGCACTTTACATTTAAAATAAATCTCAAAGTGCCACAAAATGAGTCATAAAGTATGTAAGCATATTTGCTGTGCAAATAAATACCGCGGTAATGTACACATATGAACGACCTCATGAAGAGCGAGCTGTTCTTTAGAGATCTAGCAGTTCACCCCAGCACCGCCCCCCCCCCCCCCCCCGCCACCCCGCTGCCTCTCTCAGAAACACCTCATAGTATGCATCAAAGCCTTGTCCCCCTCTTTTGTTAGTTGTCATCAATGGATAAAATAAAAGCCCCCCCCCATCCTGATTTGAATTTGGGAACCGGGTCCAAGTCACAGATTTTAGTTTGTAAAAAACAGGGGGCATTCCGCCATAGCCGTGCTTAGCAACCCATCAACAAGTCCATCTGCCCCCCCCCACGCCCCCACCCTCAGCCTATGCAGGATGGCTGAGTGACACCTAAAACAAGACATGATCCCACGATGCCTCATATGAATGTGAGAACTGACCCTGATATTGGATATTTTATAACCGTTTCTATTCCTGGCGTCGTTAATTGGCAGATTAAATGTAGATTCGGACGTATTTCTCTGCCTGTTTGTGCGCAGATTAGTAATTTGTATTCCTGGGGAGACGCGTGCAGTCATTTGCTTGGAGAGACTCACGCTTAGAAGTGCTTTTCCTGAGTGTGACCGTACGGGGGCGTCCATGCTCAGATGCAAGAGGACACTCCTTTTGTAAATCGGAAGGCAGAAGCAGCGTTTAATCGATTCCGCCAGCCCCATAAGGTGAGGGACACTGGATGGTAGGATGAAACTCAGCATTATAGTCGTTACTTTTGGTTTATAGTAACTGGTTTGGCAGGGGGCTCATTAAAAACGAAGAACCTGCCCACCACCCCCCCCCCCCCAGCCTATTTGTGGGTAAGCTCGTGTGAATAGTGCATATGTCAGGGAATGACTTGAGATACGGACGTGTAAACAGTGCAGGTTCAGCCTGCAAAGGGGTCAGAGTAGCAAGCCGAAGGAATGTGTGTATCGTGACAGTGTGAGCAGAGCGAAAATAGCCATAGCAACCATTTACAGAAAGGCAAAGATTTTCCTAATCTGTGGCATACGACCGAGGGCGCCGGAGGGGGGTGAACTCCGTAAACGGCGCCTGATTTGCCAATCCCTGGGGCCTGCCCCGGAGCAAGCCTTCAATGGGCCTTATCCCAGAGGCGTCCATCGAGTTACAGTAATCTCGTCGATAATGGCTTCGTCCCAGACTCCTCGCTTTTGTCTGGACGATAAATGAGCCCGGGTGGGCAGAGGAGAACATTCCAGAAAGGAGGAACCCATGAAATTACATGTGACAGGATGGACCCTCTCTCTGCTAATTGCTCGAACTAATTTAATTGGTCCGAGGTTCGGTGAGAAAAAAATAAATAAACAAAAAAAACCACGTGTTCATATCATCAAGAAATCGTTTGTTAACAGAGACAGATTCCCATGACACAGTGAACCCGTAACTAACTGTAAAATAACTGCAGATAAGAGAGCTATCGTAAAACAAATTATAATGAGTCCTACTGGTCTAGTTGTTACTGATGTATTTGTTAGTGTGTCCTCTGCATGCTGAAAGGGAGGCAGCTCTAGAGGCTGAGATGGGCGGCCGAGGCCGAGAGAGAGACTGGATGGGAGTGTAGAAGGGATGGATGTGACTGATGCCCTTGAACCTTCATGCCTATGCATGGCATTGCAATGTGCATGTGCGCCTTGACGAGGCCCCCACTAGCGAGAGCTAGTCTTCATCAATGGGGTCCATTCAGCAGCATGAGGTGGCTGAGGTGGTGGTGGGGGGGGGTGCCTGTCATCCCATTGTTACGGACCCAACGACCTTCCCCCTAACAAAAAAATAAACCAAAACAACAGACCAGGACAGCAAAGGCTTGCTGGGGGTGGCTCTCGTCACGCACTCCTGCCTGGCTTACGCTGTCCCACGAGCAGCACATCTTCAAACACCCATTTTTATCTAGCTACAAATAAAACATTAAAAAATAAAAATAAACAAAAATAAATCTTTGATGTGTGTTGGATAAAAAGAGGCACGTTTTCATTTAAACGATTTAAAAGACTAATGAATTCATTCTTTCTGTAGACATTTTTAAAAGTGTTCGGGGCATCATGACGGCTAAATGAACGCAAATATTATAGGAAGAATCCAAAGACAAACGCAAACTCTGAAATGAAAGGCAAGCCGACAAGAAATGAAAAAAGGAAATTCTACCAAGATTAGGCTTACCTTATTTAAACCACAGGCTATATTTGTCTTTTGTTTACTATCACGATGAAGTCACTGCTGTTTGAAGGGATATTTCTGGATGGTTGTGAGAAGCCTTTGGGTTTTTTTAATTGTATAACTGTGGCCTTTGTAGACAACGCTTCTCTTTTGACCTACATGTAAGGTGTCTATGAGATTCAAGCGTTGCTGTTATCAGCAGGGTCATGGGGCGGGGAGGGGGGGCGGTGCGGTTAGGGGCTCTAAAATCTACTGGTTTCCAGGAATTTCTGTGTTAAAGTCTGTAAAAATATTATACATCTAAAGATCCAATTGTGGTTATTGCGGCCTCCAACTACATGATCCGCGATTAAACATATTTACAGGATCAGAACAGATGAAACGGGGTAGAAGAAAGAAAATCCAGGCTGAAACCAACACTGCAGTATGAGTTATGTCAGCAGATTCTCCCCAGGCATGGAAGCTATGAGATGTCATCCCACCAGGGAGATAGCCAGCGTATTCTGGACACTGCTGTAGAAGGACGAACGTTTACAACAAGCCAGGTGTTGCTTCCACTACATGTGCACATTAAGGTTAGCAACCACAAGAAGCTCGTTAATCAAGACAACCACAGCATTCAGATAGAGCAACAGAAACATCATCACTCCAAATTAATATGTTCACTGCATTGGGTACCTAGTATATCGTATATCTTTCTTTTATAAAGTATATATAATATAATAACATATTTCATATTTGTCCCTGTGGTGGACTGGCGGCTTGCCCAGGGTGTATCCTGCCTCTCGCCCGATGATGCTGAGATTGGCTCCAACTTCCCCGCGACCCAGATGGATAAAGCATATAGATGATTGATTTCATATTTGTTGGTACTGTGAAAGTGAGCATTTAAACTCTACAAAAAAACATCATAAATATTGCCCTCTTCAGGACAGTTGTTGTGAATAAATTTGAAAAGCCAATTGTTCTCAAATGAATTATATATCTTGTCATGTTATTAATATGCGTAACATATCTTCAGACTTTAGCATAGAAATTCCTGGAGGAATTCGATGTTCTGAGGATTTCCTCCTCCATCTTTCTTGCCACATGTTTACAAAACATCCTTGATCTTGCCTTTGGTGTGTTAGCTCAACACAGGAAGTTGTAACAATTCTGATGGTTTTTTTTAATGGTATCTTTTGCTTATCTGACTTCCACTAAGGGATTGTAATTAGTCGGCCATGGTGTGAACTGTTTTTTTTTCTTTTTCTTGACTGCAATGGGACTTCCTCTGATGGGTCGTGCATAGCACAAATGATAGGAAGAAAGAGAAAAGGAGACATGTTGAGCTTGAAAGTGCCGTTAGCAGGGGAGGATGATGCTGGCAGGAAATGACAAGGATGCAGTAAGGATGTCTAGAGGACATAAAATCCCATAAAGTGCTCTTTTCAGTTGAAGTCTATCTGATTGGACATGGCTTGTGTATTTTAGATGCTCTAAATTGGATTTTCTGATATCAAATGAATAGCCAATGTGGGAACGTTATTGTGTTTGGATTAATGTGAGAGAGCCTGTTGGCTAACAATTGGTTTAGAATAATTCTTTGAGTTTTGCTATGCAGTTTAGTAATATGTCTGTATCAGTAATTGTAGGAGTTTAGAGATACTGTATGTCTGTATTCACTGGCTGTGAATGGACAGTGAAAGTGGGAAATTCCCATTAACTGTGATGACAGTGGGGATGAGGAGTAGCCAGTTGCCGGGGGTAACTGAAGGTTTTCTTTGGGGTTTTAGTTCATGGATCAACGGCGGAAACCCTCTGATCAATCAGAATGCTGAGGAGCAAATGTTGAGTTCTCATGAACATGCTGCCAGAGACCAAGGATTGTGCTCTTAGCCCTGCTGGCCCATAACGGCCCACTGGAACTGCAGTCACACTGACGCCAGTGATGGACCTCCATCGATCATTCGCCTGATGTCATGTGCCCCGGAGCCTGGGGACCCTCCAGGAAGCCGCCTTGCCCATTTCCACTCAGCGGACGCCACCTCGAACGTCACTGCATGTACTCGACCCGAGATCTGCTCCATTATCGCCCCCGCCCCCCTTTGTTCCTTTATGACTAAGGGGGGCACTGAGTGAATATTCCTCCCAATACGAACCACCAGTACAAGAAACCCAACTGAATGGCTTAGCTGGAGATCAGGCATAGCTGTGACAGCCGTTACACACGATGGACCCCCCCCCCCTCTTCGCTTTCGACGCTGGGGCTCTGTGGCCAGCGTATGTGACGGCTCATCTGGAGAACATGTTCTGCTGCGATCGGACTCCACGTACTACAGAGGCTTGACGGGTGTCGTGGGGCAGCTTGAACGACTGGCCCTTACTTGAACCTTATTCCGTGACCATCAGTAAAGCACCATGAAGTTACCTGAGGGATGTTTCTGCAAACTTGGCAAATTTCTTTAAATGTTTAAATGGCTGCTTTGGGTGCCTTTTGCACTTAAATCCCAAATTCTTGTGGAAATCACGGTTCACCGAAAAAGCCAAATCCAAATTTTTGCCCTTTTGAACATGCTCTTGGGGGGAATACAATTCCTTTTGCTCACGCGTTCTTGCAAAGTCATGTGACCTTTCTTTGCCCTCTTCTGCGGCTCAGGCCTATTAAACTGCTTCCATATCTATTGTTTTTTTTGTCTTTTTTTCTCTTGTGAAAGTTGAAGTTAAACCTTTTTTACTGCTTGCAATAGCCGAATTATTTTCCTCAGCCCTTTTCCGGAATTTCTGCCGAGGAAGCTGACGTCTCGGCCCTGCCCTGTTTACTCCTGTCGGTCCCTTGTCGCTGCCGTGGTCGACGAGGGCCAGAGCCGCCGTGGACAGCTGCACAAACACTAGCGGGAGATAATGGCCGACAGGAGGGTAAATCAGTCTGGGACTAAAAAAGATCGTGGTTGGGAGAAGGGAGAAGGTCAATGTAAACATTTTACGCAGTGTAGGTCAGCAGATGGGGGTGACCAGGAGGGCCAATTCTGTTAAATCACTGGCAAAATGCAGTGGTTAGGATGCACTACCTAATGAACACTGCATTTTGAGTTGAGTACAACTGCTTGTTAAGCATATAATAATAATAATGATAATAATAATAATAATAATAATAATAATATCTCTGCGCTAGAGTTGGTTCCACAACCTGGCTTAATCCCTGCTTGAGCTGACGGACCGCTGAAGCCATGTAATGTTTTTGTGAGCGTCACAAAGTAGCACGTGAGTTTCTTATTACGAACCATTGTGTTTAACTAATTTTTTTTATGTTATGGCAATCTCTTCGAAAGTACAGGTTGTCTGTAAATCAGACGTACTTAACCTAGGGACTGCCTGTACTGCAGTGAGTTGATGCCCGATCCTGGGTTATTTCCTGCCTTGTGCCCATTGTGCCAATCCGTGATGGGATTTGAAGACCCACGGCCCAGAAATGGGGCAAGCGATATAGAAAATGAATGAATGAATGAATGAATAAAAATAGTAATACTAAGGAATATGTAGTGTAGGCCTTGTTTATGTAGAGTGATACACTGCTGCACCTGTAATGTTGTGTTTAGACCAAGCAGGGGAAAATTGCTCAGGGCTCAGGCTCAGTGTTGAGCTTAGCTCAGAGCTGAGGCTCAATGCTCAGCTGAGCTCGGTCCCGTCTGGACTCTAGCTTCTGGGTTTCCGGGCCTTTTTCTGTCCTCCATAGATTGCGGTTCTGTTAGCCAGCAGTTTTATGTTCTGCGTGGGATGGCCCAGTTCGGAGCGTTGGTACTTTGGTCGCTGGTACTTTCTCAGTCGAGATATAAAATAAATTTAATTCCACTGAGTGCTGATTGATGAAAGCAGGGGACCACATATTCCAGGAACAACACAATTGTCTTTGTAAACAGGGAGAGATACTTTTTCCTTCCTGCGTTTTCTGAACGCTCCTTTAGGTGACTCATGATGAATAATGCATACACAGCGCCCTATAAACTCACTGTTCTGCCAATACTTTGTATTGTTTATTGTAATAACTCAACAAAAGGAATAGTGTTTTAAGCCTGTACGCTTTATAGATAAATACATTTTGAGCTGTACACTTACCTTTGCTTGATTTGAAAAAAAGTATTTAAATATAAATAATGTTCATTAATGTGTAATATTGGGCAGGAAAATAAAAACTATTTTCACACAAGTTTTTTGTGTAAATGTCAGTGTTGTACTATGGAAGCTGTGTTATTTTAAGACTTCCAAGTGTCCATCATCCATTGAAGACAAAGTGGCTTTGGGTACCTTATAGTTCACTCCAATGTCCACTTAAGCATGCAGAACACAACCCACTGTTATGTAAAGTGAATCTGGACTGCAGAAACGAGCCGAAGGAGCAATGCAGATTCTGGGGATCATGGTTACAGTATCGGCTCGTACCTGCTGCTGCTGTTGGCCAGAGAAACCAGGAGGCAGGAGGATTCCACAGCTGGCACTCAGGAGTCGGAGAGGACCTTGTCTTGTGTCACGCCTGTCAGGAGGTCGAGATCTTAGGTATAGGAGAACCATAGAAGCATTTGCTGTCTCTGGATGGCCAAAAACATGTTTACAGACAAGTAAAAATACTAGGGCTGTTAGACAACTAATTTTTTTTCAATAGAGATTAATCATGTAAACAGTGATTAATCATGTGATTAATCGCATATTCAATCATATTATCATTTTGTTGAAAATTATAATTATACTGTTAAAAAGTAATGCTAGACTATAACAATCTCACACTCAGACCAACTCAGAGCAGGCTTAATTACCAACAGAGTAACAAGACACAGGTGTAACTAACTAAGATTGAACCAATTAACTCAACTAGGGAATAAATGAAATTAACAAATAACATGGAAATAAAGAAAAATAATAATCCTGAATTTCAAAAAGCTGAATTTGGGTTTCACATCACACTGACTTTCAGCCCCAGCTCAGTGGTAAGGAGCTGTTCAAAAGACGATGAATATCTAAGTCTTTCCTAGAACTTGCATGATAGTCATGATTGTTTCCACTCCACTGCCAATTCATTTCCCTCACTAAAATTTTATCTATCTTTCGCATTAAGATTAAGTATAGATATGAAACAATTGATTAGGGTATTAAAGTAAATGATGGTGTTAGGGATGTGGTCGATGTACTCTATGTTACATAAGTGTCGGCTTTACTTGAAGACATAGGCATGCTAGGAGGGATGGTCTGGTTTGGCTCGAGGGTGTGTGGATGATGGTAGAGAAAGGCAAACTCCTTTGCTGATTGATGGCTACTCCCAGTGCCAGTTTCCCTGGGGATAACACTGCTGGCACAGGTCCAGGGAGCAGGAATGGAGGAACGGGCTCCTCAAACCCTGCATCTCAGCCTGACGCATTTACACTACTGGCCAAACTTGCGGAAACACTTCCAGTTTTTAGAGACTGCAGAACGTCATTCAAATGTTGCACCAGTTACTTATTTAATAGTCCAATGTATGATATTTGTGACATTCTTTGATTGTTTCTAAATGCCAAAATATGTGTAATTATATTTAAAATGCAATGGCAAAAATGCTAGGTGTTCCCACAATTTTGGCCACTAGTGTAGGTCCTCAGCGTAAGGGTGTTATCTCACGTTGCGGGGATACTGTCTCATTATTTGTGTAAATGTGATATCCACTCCATCATATCCACTCTTTTTTCTCCAGTTATTCACAAACTGCAGGCCTGTTTTTCCTTGCAGACTGCAGTTTTTGCCCCCCCCCCATCACATTCTCTCCTAAATCTACCCTTTTATCCTGTCATTTGATGCTGGAACACTGAGATGAGGATATGTGAGAAATGTTCCAGTGAAATATAAGGTGAGGTGCATGATAGTTTGCTGTTTGTATCAACTGTCCCAAACAGACTTTACTGTTATTAGATTATTGGCATGAGCACCCTGTACTCAAGTGTATAAGATGGATGGATGGATAAACTAGTCACTGCTTGCATTAAACCAGGTTAACATTTTAATTATGAGTAATAAGAAGGGCGGCATGATGGTATAGTGGTTAGTAGGGTGACCTCAAACCTCTAGGTCTATGTGTGTGGAGTTTGCATGTTCTCCCCATATTGCTGTGGGGTTTCTTCCTGGTACTCTGGTTTCTTCAGTCCAAAAACATGCTGAGGTTAATCGGAGTTACCAAATTGCCCATAGGTGTGCATGTGTGTGTGAATGGTGTGTGACTGAGCCCTGCCATGGGTTGGCGCCCCATCCTGGGTTGTTCCCTGCCTTGTTTCCATTGTTTCTGGGATGGGCTCCAGACCTCTGTGACCCTATTCAGGACAAGCGGTATAAAAGGTAAATGAATATGAAGAAGAAAATCAAAGCATTTGCTACAATAAGTGTTTCATTCACTACTATACACAGCTTGTTGATGAATCTAGCCAAGAAGCAAAGACAACATGTTTTAAAATAAAGTGCATTAAATGTTTAAATGAATCAGCGCTGCTTTGGTAACTATGATTCATGCCTCCTGCATAAATGACTGTAATCACAGGCAGTTATGAATAGCAGCTAAATGCTACTGTTAGCATATAGCTATGCAAATTGAAGGCCTTGCTTTAGGCCAAAGTTTTAAGACGTGTTTGTACTACTGGTCAGAAGAAAACACAGAAATCCAAGTTAAGGAATGCAAACCTTAAAGTGAACCCATATTTCACTGGGGTGATTACAAGTATCAGACATAACAAAACTCTTAAGTATCAAATGTCTTTAATAACTAACCAGGTGACTTATGGGTACTTAAGATAAACTCACTGGGAATGCAATTTTTTTTCTCTCACATATACAACACAAGAAGGAGCACTGGGTGGTCTCAAAACAAGAATATTTTGTATGTGTTATGGGGGGGCATGGCACAGGATGAAAAAGAGTGACGATCCAGTGAGCAGAGGACTTTATTAGCTAAACAGAACATAAAGGGGAACCATGAAATAAAGGGACCACAAAGGGTCAAAAACGGAATAAAAAGGAGTAACTAAACAATAACCACAAAATAATACACTAGGAGACAGAGTAAAACTGGGAGCTATTCAGGGAGATAAGCACAGCTACTAACAACAACAATGCCTGACCGACGAGGGCATGTGTGGACCATGACAATATCAACCAATCAGTACAGGCACAGATCAACAAGAAACAGGTGGAAAAAAATTCTAATTAACAAGCACAGGAACTAGGAAACATTATCAAACACAGAGGCTAACAGCACTAGGAAATACTATGGATAAAAGTACAAGCAGAACCAAATAATACAAGACGCAAGCAGGGTAAACCAAAACAGGGACACAAAGCTAAACCATAACAGACACTAAGGAGAAACCAGTTTTAAATTGCACAACTGGTGACTGTAGGGGTACAGCCTCTGAGCCACACAGCAGCCCGGGTAGCAGGAAAACACACTAGGGGCTGAAGAGCTACAAGACAGAGAGAGGGGAAGCAGGATGACCAGCAACCCCTGCTGGCCAAAACGGGACAATGCACGTAGAACAGGGTCAGAGTTAAGTTGCTTTTAATCAAGTTTCTGTTTCCTGGAACATTTGTGTGGCTGACATCTGAACAGCCCAAATGACTCTTTCACAATGAATATCCCTTTTCTGCATTTTCATAATAAATGTGCTTTA